ACTTATATGAAACTGCAATGGTGTAACATGATTACGGAGGACTATAATCCAGCAAATCAAAAACAAAAAACAAAAAGATTAGTTATGTAGTATATATATATATATATATATATATATAGATTTCACAGCTTTTGTGATCATGGTGATAATAAAATACTTTGACCATCATTCCCATGTTTACCTAATAAATAAATCATGAAGTTGAACTCTGTTTTATAAGTACTATATGTTCTTTGTGTTGTTGTTGGAAAATCAGAAGTAGATTAGGTAAGAAAATCTCTGTTTGGGACGATTGCAAATACAAATCTATATGTTTAGTGCAAAACCTCATGTGGTATTTCTAATTTCTTGACCTTGTATTTGTAGTTTTTCCAAACTGAGACCCAAGTGTGTACTGTTTTTGTTTTTAAAATGCCATTTGCCCCTGTTCAATAATAGAGAGAGCATGTAAAAAACCAAAATCAGTGTATGAAAAATGTCCCTAGATTAGCAGATAGAGGAGAGTTGCTTTGAAGAGGTTTCTTGTATAGTTAGGAATTCAAATATCTAAATGGTTTAGCAATTAATGGCTATTAGAAAAATTTAAGCAGTTAATAACTACTTGATTATCTATAGATTTAAAATGTAAACTTATTACATTTGCAATGGTGTAGTTGGGAAATGTAAAATTACAATGACATGCTTCGAAAACATGGACGAAATGTATTCGATGCATCATTAAAAACTAAAACAATGTAGGCATCCAGTGATTATTATCAATGCATTTCTTATCGATTGCATTTAAATAATTTGCCACATCAGCATTTTAACATAATTAATGGGCTAAAGATGCGCGCTCATCCAAAAACACAACACCATGTTGTTAGGACCTAAGGTTGATTATAATAGAAATACCATCTCCTCTGATGACATATTTGAAAACCGAAAAGCCAAAACATTGCATGAACAGTTGTGATTTCCTAAACGTAGAATTATTTTTTTGTTTTTATCTTCACCATACATGTTTATGTTTTTGGTAGAAATGTTGCATAATGAAAGGGCATTTCATTGTTGATCCCAAACACCTACCTACCAAAGCTTAAGGTATAGTATTTGTGGCCAAAAGAAAAAACCCTACTGAAGTCTGGAAGGGTGTTTTAATTAATAGCATATGGCAATTACATTTTACACAGAATTTGTCTATAAAAAGGCAAATATTTGTTTGGGCATGAAACCAAAGAGTACCCGTTTATGCAAAAAAAAAAAAAAATGCAACAAAACAAAACATGCTTTAAATTAAAATCCTGTGCCCTTTGGGGGTACTTTGATGCTTTCACAAATAGAGGGTGTTAGAAATTTATGATATAAAAACACATCTCATTAAGCATTCAAGTATATAGTTAATTATAGACAGAATCATCATCTCAATAATCAATTGCTATCAGATCAGAACATCACATTTTATTTTTATTTTTTTAACATGAAAGATATTCATCGATGATCTGCTGACGTCATCCTCATGCTGGACTCTTAGGTCAGAAATCGAAGAAAATTTACACTTGTTAGTCATTGATTTGTTTTTACCTTTCAAAAAAAAAGGTAAAATACAAAAACCTCCCCTGAAGTTTCTGACAATCATAGAAACCTCTTCTATAGTTTCATTTTAACAAATGTCTCTCTTAAACTTTTGAGAAACTCAACAAAAATCTCCCTTCCGTCATCGTCCTAGATGGAAAACGTTAAATTGATTCATCAATTTTTTTTTCTAAATACCAATTATACTCTTTTATAAATTATTTTACATACAAAATTACTGAAATAATCCCATTTCAACTAAAAAAACATATTTCAGTAATTTTGTATGTAAAATTAGTGAAGTGATCGTTAAAAGAGGTTTTTGTTGAGTTAAAATGGGGTTATTTTAGTAATTTTGTATGTAAAATAATTTACAAAAAGATAGAATGGGTATATGAAAAAAACTGGTGCATCAATCTAACATTTTCCATCAGGGACGATGACGGAAGGGAGGTTTTTGTTGAGTTTCTCAAAAGTTCAAAGGAAGTATTTGTTAAAATGAAACTACAGGGGAGGTTTTTAGGATTGTCAAAAACTTCGGGGGAGGTTTTTGTATTTTACCCAAAAAAAAGTATAGGTAAGCTTTTTTATCTAGAAAAAATTCCAAAGTAGTACTTTTTACTTTGGGCCTAGTGTCACTTTGATCTTCAAACTTAAAAAAAAAAAAAGATAATTCAATACCTTAATTTTCAAAACATGCCAATCCAATACATGTTGTTAACTAGTCATTAAGTGGCATTTTAAAATACACAAATGCCTTCTAAGTGTCACCTAAATTTTTTCATTAACCATCCAAACAAAGAGGTAAGGAATTGAGACTATTCATTTTTTTTTATCAATGTTTGGATGATTGATAAAGAGAATTAGATAACACTTGAAGGGCATTTGTGTCTATTTAAATGCCACTTAATGGCTGATTAACGGGTTGAGTAACAATAGGTACTGGATTGACACATTTTGAAAATTGGAGTACAGAATTGTCACATTTTAAAGTTTAGGGGACCAAAGTGGCACTAGGTCCAAAGTACAAGGGTACTAATCGAGAATTTTCCCTTAAATTTATACCTATTACTATTAGATATACCTGATCCTGGATGATGGATTGGCCAGGACCGACCCATTCTTAATCGGGCTTGGGCTCAAAATACTAGGCCTAACTTTTTCCAGGTCGGGTCAGACTTTTTCTAAGTATTACTTGATAATTAGGGGTTTAAACGGATCAAATTTGGATTGGATCAGGCAATATCTGAATTCGAATCCAATTAGAAAATCCGATATTTGAATTCGATTCGATATCTCACAGATATTGAAAATTAATATTCGAATTCGAATCCGATTAAATATTTGAATATTCGATTCGAATTCGATTAATTAATTATTTTAGATAATTAATATATATAAAATAAATATTTTATTGATATAAAGTATATAAATATTTAAATTATTTATATAACTTAATTATTATATATATTATATAAAATATTTGATATATTATATATAAGAATTAAATAATCGGTTGAATTCGGATATTTATCGAATCGAATAAGGTCATATCCGAATTCGAATCCAATTAACTATTCAATAAGAATAGGATATCCGAATTCGACCGATTAAATATTCGAATTATCCAAATTCGATTTGATTATGTCGAATATCAAATTCAAAATCGGATTTTTGAATACCGTTGACACCCCTATTAATAATGCCTTTTAAGGTTGCAACCTTTTTCTCTACTTTGTCTTGGTGCAATTTGTAATTTAATCAATGAATATATCCTTGTAGTGTATAAAATGATTGGTATCTAATACAGAAACACACATATTCAAACGAAGGATAGATATATGAGTTAATATTATATAATAAATATATATATATATATATATATATATTATATAATGCCTTTTAAGGTTGTAACCTCTTTCTCTACTTTGTCTTGTGCAATTTGTAATGTTATCAATGAATATATCCTTGTAGTGTATAATTTGGTTTGTATCTAATACAATGATACACATATTCAAACGAAGGATAGAAATATGAGTTACTAATATTATATAATAAAATTTAACTTTTATGACCTAAATTAAACTCAAGTATGCCCTTTATGAACCATCTCTGATCCAATGACACATACAACCCACGTAGGTGTAGGGGTATGGCACTTGTCGAAAATGCTAGGTCTTGCCCGTCCTTTGAGTCAATGTTTTTAACCCTTTGTTGACCCGGTTAGTCAAAATGTTCGAACTATCACTTAGACAGGATTTTGGGTTTGGTTCAGTTAAAACCCGTTAGACAATAAAAAACCATTAACTTGGTCAAGAACCGTTTGACCCGATGACCAGGTCGTGGGTTGCACACTGAATATACGCAAACTTTTGGATGCCATAACTTTGCACTCCAATATCCTATTAGGGTGATTTTTTTTTTTATTTTGGATAACTTTTTGAGATCTCTATTTTCATGAAAACATTCATTCTTTGGCTTCAAATTATAAATTTTAATATTTTTATGAATAAAAATAAAAAACTGAATTAAAAAACATATAATAAAAATAAAATAATTCATATAACATATCTAAACCATATTTATATATTATTTATTATTAATATATATATATATATATATATATGTATACTTAATGCATATATACACTGACATCGCATGGTATGAACCATTCGACCCAGCCGATTGAAGTGGTGAACCATGACATGGAGGCAAAAACGATTCGGCTTCCACGTCAATTTTTAAAACATTGCTTTGAATTTCCAGTGGGATGGTTGGGTCACCATCCCCATCCCTCCCCAATGCACAGTCCATGTTATTGTGTGTGTTTGCTTACATGAATGATGTAATCATGTAAATGAAAGGGGTCTGAATTTAAAAGATGAGCACTGGCTGCCACCTTTATCGCGGCCCACAAAAAGAACCTGACTTTTTCAACCTTTTAACAAGGGAGCGTATTCAACGGTAGAGGATGGCGGTCGCTTTGAACCCTCATTTAGGTGCCACGTGAGGATCATATAGTCATATGCTAGGACAAGGGTGGAATTGGGGATGGTTTAAACTTTTAATTTCGGGTTGAACTTGAACACTATGCCTATCAACCTTGGCTCAACTCTATAGTCTCAAATTAACAAATTCAAACATAACTCAAATCACAGTAAAAAGGATTAACACACACACACACAGACAGACAATAATCCATTGGGGTTGGGGTTGGAGTTTCAACTTTCAACTTTCAACCCCAACGGCCAATGAAGTAAAGAGCTCCCCTGCTCCCAGTTGATGACCAAAGACAAAAGTACCCGACAGAGACATGTATGCGCCTAACTCATCAGCTCTGCGGATCTAGTGCGCTGGAGCATTCCCTTCCCTATGGTTGGTATGGCAGTGTAGCCTAGCTAAATGGTTGAATGGATGTCGGAAGAGATTGAGAGAGAGAGACAGAGTGAGAGAGGCTGAGGGACCATCGAGATCCGCAGTTCGCCCCCGTCCTTCATTCATGCCCTCTCCCACTCACTCAAATGAAATGACTCCCAGCAAATAAAAACAACTCAAGAAAAGTCGCTAGTAACAGTCACATATACACGCACAGTCTACAACTATTTGTCTTTCCATTTTACAATTGCAATTTCAGACCGATGAACTGATCCATCATCATCTATATATGCTCTATATAAATACAACACCTTCCACTCTTTTCCTCTGCCATTACTCATTCACTCACACTCTTTTCATCTCTCCTTTCTCCTTTCCGCCATCACCGTCACCATGCGGTCATCATCGTCAGGTGGCGAAGACACCAGAAATCTCTACAGCAATAGAGTCTCTTCTTCGTCGTCGTCCTCAAAATCGTCATCTTCGTCTTCATCTCTCTCCCCCTTTTCACCTTCAACCCACCTCCCAACCCCTACGAGGAGAACCATGGAAGAAGTATGGAAAGACATCAACCTCACTTCTCTCAATGACCACCCTGCAGCTGCCACCGGCACCAGAGAATCAACCCTTCCCAAAGGCACCGAAACTGATACTACCAACCTCCGCGGTATGATTTTTCAAGACTTCCTAGCTCGACCCTTCAACACTACTGATCCACCAACAAGCGTTGTCTCCGTTAATCCCACAACTTCTTCTGATGTCACTGCCTTCGCTTCTCCACCACCACGGCCCCCTACCGTCTTAAGTTTGAATTCGGGCCCAGAATTTCATTATCTTGATAACACTGATTCGTTGAGGCCACACTCGCAATTATATGGCTCTGGCAATGCAGCTGCTACACCCTTCTTTCTTCCTTCCTTGAACGCTCCTTTTGACTCTTTCGGTTCTTCTTCGACTTTTTCTCCGCTTTGCCGAAAAAGAGTTCCGGACACTGAAGAAAATTCCGGAGATCGACGGCATAAGCGCATGCTCAAGAATCGAGAATCTGCTGCTCGGTCTAGAGCCAGAAAGCAGGAATTGATTTTTTTTTTCGATCTTCTCTTTCATCTTAGAATTTGTATAGTTATGGTTTAGCTTCATGGTGTTTTCTGGGCATTACTCTCTAGTGATTTTTCCTTGGAACATTTACAGGCTTATACAAATGAATTGGAGTTGGAAGTAGCTCATTTGAAGGAAGAGAACGCGAAGCTCAGAATACAGCAACAACAGGTGAATGGAATGAGTTAACAAGAGAGAGAGAGAGAGAGAGAGACCCATAACATTATTTCCAGGGTTTTTCTTTTCTTTTCTTTGTAATTTATTCAATCACTGAACATTGTTACAACATCCTAACTTGGACGGAGATTTGCTGATTGGTCTTTATCTGTGAACAGATATGTTTAGCGGCAGCTGCTCAACTTCCCAAAAAGCAGGCTCTCTATAGAACGTCGACAGCTCCGTTTTAACAAAGCAGCCTTTTATCAGGGTTTTTCCTTTCCATCTCTTTTTTCTTCATATCTTTTCTTGTACTTAACAGAGAGAGAGAGAGAGATGGGGCTTAAATGTTCTGTAAGAGAATATCAATGTCAGGGCTGTTAAGAAAGAAGAAAGCCGCAGATAGCAGGTAGGTATTTTGAATCCGAGCAGTAGGAGCTTTGGTGGGCCATACCTTGTAAGTTTGTATTAAATCTTTTCCTCGTCTTTTGTCTATCTAATTAATAATTTTCTTCTTGGTATTGGAGGGTGGGGTCTAGGGCCAGGGGGAGTGAAGATGGGAAGAGGGGGGAGGGAGTGGATGAGATGGGGAATGGGAGACCAGAGAGACCACATGCTTGCTTGCGTAAAGATGTACAGTATAAAAGATGGGACATGTTGGCCATCACAATCAAGTATCTATCATCTTCTTCGTTTTTCTTCTCTCTTTCCCCATCTTCCACTCTCACCCAATCCAAGTTCTTATCTTCCATTATTACATCCATTTTTTATATGTTTGATAGATCCGTTGTAAGTTGTAACATCCATTGATGCTGTATTTCGTGGGTCTTAATCTTTATGCTACCTCATAAAAATCCTTTCTAATTTGTTAAGTTTTCGTCTCTGTTCACCCCAGTTATCTTTTAACGTATGCAAACGTTTCAATTTTAGTTCCGTCGTTACGAGTCGAGTCTCCTCATAGCACAGGCCAATAGACAACACATCAGCCTAACTAGGCCCCACAAGTCGACACGTGGGCGTTTGAGTTGAACCATCTATAATTAACGACTTGATAATGACATGGGAGAAGTAATGCTGTAGACCGTTGAGTTCCAACCTCCAACGCGAAGAAACTTCTGTGCTATTTCATCCTACGGATGAAATTATATTTCATGTATTGCTTTGTGTTCGTTTTTGTAGCTACATTTACAGAGCAACTATTTTCTACTGCCAATTAGCTTAGTGAAATTAATGATCTGCTAGACTTGGCTCAGCGGCCATTTGATTGCAGCTGAAGTGTCTCAATTTATTTGAAGTCAAAGCAATAAAACCCATTTCAGCCGGCCCGCTTTCAGATGATGATGATGATGATACGAATGAATACTCGGAGACATGAGAGACCAAGTGAACAAACACCCCTTTTAATTGTTCAAAACCATAAAACCAGCTGTGTGCAAAGGCGGCATATTTGACTCACTGAGCAGAGATGAAGCAACACCCCTTTTAGTTGTTCAAAACCATAAAACCAGCTGTGTGCAAAGGCGGCATATTTGACTCACTGAGCAGAGATGAAGCATCCCACAAATATATATAGCTGTCAGTGATCTTTTGTCCTTTTCATCTGTTTGCTGGGCGTCTTTATTTCTTTCTTAATTCATCACTAAACAAGATGCCACACTTTGTTTTCACATCGTGCCAGATAATTGATTTGGTAGTCAAAAACTCAAAACTCTTACGAGCTAGCTGTTTGTCTGGTCTATTCGAGAGAGGAACGGCGAGGTGGGGTGTTTTGCTTCAATTAGAAAGTGGATATATATTATTTAGAGAGAGGGGAACAACATTTTTCTATTAAAAATTATGCGGCTGGAGAGGTTGAAAAGCTTGTACACTCCTTAAGTGGTAGTGAAACCCATTCTTTCTCTCTCTCTGCCATCCATTTATTTCAAGCCAACCCTTTGGCGACTGTGTCTGTGATGCAGATTCTTTATTTACTTAAATCGCTGTTTTTCAATCTTTTCCTTCATTCTTTTTTATTAATTTAATTACTATACGGATTATTAAATATAAGATAAAATCCGACAAAGTTGTCTGCCATTTTTTTTACCAACAGTAATTACAGTCGAGAATTTCATTCATGGACGAATACAAGTTTTTCTTCTCTTGTACGGGATACAACTTGCAAAATTGTACAAATTTGAGTGTATCTTCGCTCATTGTATTGGGCGACGCAAGCATCCACTTGTGGACTTGTGATCAAGTGATTTCAGGCTTAGTAGAATGCTGGGTACGTGTCTAAACACCAGAGTACTTGAAACTTGATCCTTAATTGAAGGAGCCAATTTTTTTCCAACAGCTCGTATCAGTATTTCTTAGGTGCATTGTGAAGCTTGTGCCTATTTCCTTTGTTTTCCGTGTTTTGTGATTTTTGATTTCCCAAAAGCTAAAGGGGTTTTAAATAGGGAGAATGACGGTTCACCCCTTTCTCTTTCCCTCTTCTCTTTTTCGCTTGTCATTGGTTCAATCATTTCAGAACTGAAAAGTTTGCATGCCGATCAAACTCAACACTTCAATCTTTTCTCTAACGCCTTAACCTGGCAAATAGGTTTTTTGGAGCTGGGTATTAGTAGGTCAGGGCTTCGCGTCGATTGAGCTGCAATGACTGAACTGCTACAAAAAAAAAGCTACCAAAACAAGATTCACCAGAAAGTACTTTTTGGGCTTTCTTTTAAAGCCTATATTGCATGGCCGGTATGATGAGCAGATTCAATGGAAATAGGTTTCTTGGAGCTGGGTATTAGTAGGTCAGGGCTTCGCGTCGATCGAGCTGCAATGACTGAACTGCTACAAAAAAGAAAAAGCTATCAAAACAAGATTCACCAGAAAGTACTTTTTGGGCTTTCTTTTAAAGCCCATCTTGCATGGCCAGTATGATGAGCCAGATTCAATGGATCTTTTGGGAGTCAGTATGATGAGCTGTCCTATGTTGAAAGTCTTGGTAACTCTTGAATTGGCAGGGTATTTACACTAACCTGTTCATCACGTTCTTCTAGTATATGGCACTGACACCTTCAAAGGGATAAGCTGAAGTATATCATAATGCTCTGAAGTTTGGATGTAAAAATAAATTAGGTGTCTAAAAGAAAGTTTTGGAGAAGTCCTCTTGGATGTCTTCTGGCCTACGATCCATTCCCACTAAGTTGTTTGGTCAAAGCTCGTTCTGTCATATAACAGATTCAATGGATCGATCATAACAGTTTGAAACCAATGTATTCTCTACATCTCTAAACTACTTTGAACAGTGAACTCAAGGGTTTGTGTTTCAATTCTATTGAATGTACCGCAATGGCTACAGTGAAGTGGTCTTGGCAGATGTGGGACTCTGGCAATACAGATCATAAATTATATGATTATATCCGTAAACCATAAATGTAGAAATTTTGGGCTAAGTGGTTTCCAATGAGGTCTCCTGATTAGTGATTGGATGACGGGCGATAAGCAACTGATGGCAGACATCAAATAAGAATATGCAGGTTTAGTAGAATTGTAAACAATTAAAAAAAAAAAAGGATAACAGAATAACAAAACCTGAGAAAGACGAGATACTCAATATAATATGATAACATCAACATCTCTGCAATTGTTTCCCAAAGAAAGAACATACTTTGGTTTAATGGCAAATAGACATTATTTGATAAACCATTACTTGGTTCACTTCCCCACTTCATCCTTCTATTGTCCTATTGGCTCAGTCAAAGGTAGATCATCTCTACCGGTCCTTTTCTTCACTTTCAATAGTCAATAGATAAAAAAGAATCCAGAGCAAAAGGATACGACCAACATAATCGACATAGAGGGTGGTATCGGAATTCGGAGATGCTAACATGGCCAACATCCTGCTTGGTGAACAAGCTACCCGGATGATTCCACTTGCGAGGACGTAACATGAGCAAATCATCAAACTATGATGCAATGAATGCTTCTGCCTCACTCCAGTCTCTTTTGCAATTTATTCGCCTAAAGAGATAGTCATGCCGATTGGAGTAGGAGCAAGGACAATGCCCTGTTTAGACCTGAGCCTCAAGCCTTCACTGATTTAGCAACAAAAATTTCCTGCTCATAGTGAGTGGTCAAGCCTTACTGCTTGGAACTTTGTATCCCAGATCCAGTTCCTCCCCAACAATCTTGTAGTTCCATAAAACACTTTAATCAGCATGGTTACATAGCGACTGTAATTTTGAATTCAAGGCTTGAGGAAATTAATGTATACTCTTCTTTCCCAAGAAATTATACAAATGGATGTACAATATACGACACAAAAGTGCCATTGAAGGGTTGAGTAAGACAACTTTAACTAAGTTGCAGAAGCTGCAAGACGTAAGGAAAATCCAGTTTCAACAAAACAGACACTATCCAAAATGTCTTTTTGCAGTGTTAACATAAGCATAAAGTGCTTGGTCTCCATGGTTGGAATTACAAATGAGAAATTAATGCAATTATAATTTGTTTCTAAAGAAGTGTGGGAAAAAAACTTCTAAAGACTTTACAATGGTGCAGTATAGAAGAAATTTGTTTAACATGGTAGAGAACTTGGAAAAATTCTAGGCTGAAAACATAGTTGTCATAATGAAATTAGGGTTGTTATCAAAGCGCAGAAAACCTATGGAGGTTCCACTGCAAAGACCCTCCATGGAGAAGTACTGCACCAAAGAGACTAATTTGCGGTTTTGCTGAAGTAACAGCATTTGTGAAGAACGAGAAAGGGGCAAAATTCTGCATTTATTTGGAGCTGAACAGGACTCCTTCAAAATGCTGTATATTCATATTCCATAAATATAATGGGAAGGTTGTAGCCCAGTCGTCCATAAAATCTACATGCCACAGTTCTTTTCTGAGGGAGGCATGAAATTTCCAAAAAGTCAGCAATTCAAACTTGATCTTCTCAAGGATTCAATTTCTACTGAGTTTGGTTTTCATTAACACTTGAAAAAGGAGAAAATAGAACTTCATGAGACATGGCATTACCTCCCACAGAATATATCATACATCTTAGAAGTAATTATAGATTATCGTACAAAGTGTGATACAATCCAATGAATCTGGTAGCAAAGAAAATAGAATGTTAGAAAAGGGCATCATGTAATGGAACTATTTAGTATGCACATCAAAATACAGATCAATAGAAGAATGATATAAATGTTAGATAACTCTTCACATTGTAGAACATGGTTCCGAAAGCAAAATAAGTATCATAGATGAAAAACAGAATGGTTGCAAAAAGGAAAAAAAAAATATTAGGCATTGGAAAAAGAAGTACTACAAAATTACAAAATGTTTCAAAGATAAATTTCTTTAAAACCTTTCACAAATTTCCAAGAGTATCATTTCAAGACCTAAATCTTGATTTACTAGAGCCAAAATCCATTCTCCAATTAAAAACTACCCACAACTAAAATCTTGGGTTGCATTGAACCAATTCAATAATAAAAAATATATACTTCAAACACATTTGGACTTGTCTTGAATTCCTATTTCTTTCCTATATTCCAAAGAAAACCCATGTGTAACTACTCAATTTGATCAACCACCATAATAGAGATTTTGCAAGACAGATAAGAGATGGATTGTAGATTGGAAGACAAACCGGCATACTTTTAATGAAGAGTGGTACTTCATAGGTTAGGAAAAAAATACTAGTCGGGTGGAAATCACCGATTCACCATCTTTCTTCCCCAGTCTCCTCACTCAACCTCTCTCCAACAGTTCATCAGGAATGCATCTCATCTGGAGTTACATCATCCTCAAACTCCCACACCTCCTTGCCTCTATTGCTTGACCAAGGAGGATCCTTGGAACTTATGTGATCAAGTCTCAGCTTGATGCCTACCACCTACCCATATCCTTTGAGGAACAGCATCTCTATTATCTTCAACCTTCTTCCAACAGTTCATCAGGAATGCATCTCATCTAGAGTTACATCATCCTCAAACTCCCACACCTCCTTGCCTCTATTGCTTGACCAAGGAGGATCCTTAGAACTTATGTGATCAAGTCTCAGCTTGATGCCTACCACCTACCCATATCCTTTGAGAAACAGCATCTCTATTATCTTCAACCTTCCTCCAACAGTTCATCAGGAATGCATCTCATCTAGAGTTACATCATCCTCAAACTCCCACACCTCCTTGCCTCTATTGCTTGACCAAGGAGGATCCTCAGAACTTATGTGACCAAGTCTCAGCTTGATGCCTACCACCTACCCATATCCTTTGAAGAACTGCATCTCCATTATCTTGAAACTGCAATGAAGAAGATGATGGAATGGTTTTGAGGATATTGCATGATAACCTAAATCCACTTGTCCAGACTATCAGGTTTACTATGTTGTCCCTTATCAAAAGATTTTGAGCCTCATCAATATACTTTATAACTTCCAACAGATCCACCCCCATGAATATATCCAAATATCACATCATGTTACACCTACCTGATTCAAGACCCAAAATTTTTGAGTTTGGTCCTGGTGTCCAATTTCCCTGTGATGCTTTCTATCATAATGTGCACCCTTCTTTCAATTCATGATTGGAATCAAGCCCCTTATAACTCCCTCTTTAGAATCCCTTACAACCTAAGATTTCCACTTACAATTTCAAACCATTTCCTAACTTGTTCCTTGCAGGATTTATTCTGCTTCTATCATAGGCTTAAACTTCTCTTCTTGAACATCCAACCTATGTTATTTTGGAATTCTCCACGAGAATAAACTCCATTAATTGAATGCCATTTTTTATCTTCCCTCTTAATTCTCCAAAATTCATTTCCATGGCCTGTCTTCAACTAACGCTACATCTTCAACCTTCTGTCCAACCCTTTAAATTATGTGAAATTCCTTTCCTCGTAACCAAATTCCTACAATGTTAATCAAAACCAATCCTGAATATTTATCGTTTCTTAAACTAACCAAAGACCAATAGTGTCAATATGGAACTCGATATAACTCAGCTACCTTTCCCAACTTGGCACATGCCAAGTGTCATTCAAAAGCTCACCTCTGTAGAGAATAAAAACCTATTCAGGGACATCACCTAACAGCTTAAAGTTTTAGGTTGAACAGTTCCTTGAGATGGTATCAGAACACTTGTGACAGTCCTGGGATTCTATCGGCACATAACAGTTACTGTAAGTGTTCGACACTAGAAATCCGGTGTTAGTTGAAGGATCGAAGAAGGGCTGAAAAGAGCTGGTCCTTTTTGCCTATAGGAGGCTCCAGTTGTAGAAAAGGTTGTTGCCGTTTAATGGTTGGTAAATAACCTCCTTTTAGCACAGGTTAGTTGGTTGATGTTTGGCCTTGATGTATGGTGTTTTGGACCTTTCGGTGATCCATTTTTGTGTGAAATCATGATATTTACATGCCTATATGTCTGGTTGGTGGTTTAGATGTGTGGACAGTTGAAGAAGCTGATTTTTTAGCTGCTGAAAGTGTTTCTTTTAGCATTTTAGACCTTGGCAGTGCAATTTTTAATTGGAGTTGGTGTTAGAATTGGTTTTTAAGTGCAACCAAAAAGTGTTCACCCCCACGGCAGTAACATTACAGCAAGACTATATGATAGTCCAAATGACTTCTGTTAAGCTGAATGGACAGAATCATGTTCCTTAGTTGAAGTCTATAGAAATATTCCTTATTGCCAAAGGGAAATTGAAGTATGCTATGGAGGATAAACATAAAGATGGTATCATAACCTGTTCGACTAAGTGGTCTAGTGTTCAGTCCTTGTTGCCCTCATTATAATTAATTAAATTTGAGCACAAGGTATGGTGGGCCTGTGCTTGTCCATGCTTCAAGCTTGACAGTCTTTCGCATGAGGGGGGTGTTACATCCACTGGGTAATCAAGCCACCTCTCATATGAAGTCCAGTCAGGGCAGCACCTAAAAACTTTCAACCAAACACCTTTCTAGCATTTCCATTCGATTCTATAAGCTAAAAACATCCTTCGCTTCAACAATCCTAACACCCTCAACCAAAGTTTCTAGAAGAAAAAAGGATAATATACTGATATTAGCAAGGCAACAGAAAAGAGTACAAAAACTTCATACAGAAGAATTAAAAGACACTGAAAAAGAAGGTAACCCTTTCACCCCCGGGAAAATTTACCGACAAAAATAAACGTCAAACATCACCATTAAAAAACAGTTTCTTGAGGAAATAGAATACACTTATAATACCAAAGCAACACAAGAGAACATACAAACTTTACAAATAAGAACCCAAAGAACTCAAAAAAAAAAAAAAAAGGATTGGACTATTCACATGAAAACTCCAAGCAAACCCCTCATCTTCCTAACTCCTATAATGCCCAGATACAGACATGACACGGGCATGGATATGGGAAACAGGGATATGACTCTCCATTTCCTAAAATTCTGGACATGGATACATTTATTGGTATTCCATGTAATATGCTTATAGTGTACATTTATATCTAGTGTGTGAATCTGAATATCATTTCTTAAGACTTATGTCTTGCCAAATTTAATTAAATATCTAACATGTGCAGATATATTTAAAGTAAAATTTGTTAAAAAAACACTTTACATATTTTAAAAGCCGTAATGCTATAGAGTACATCTGCAAGTACCCATGTAGCATCTGGTATCATATATTCATATATGATACTGGTATGCTAGACATGTACAGGTATATGAGTAACAAAGCTCAACCCTCTACCACAACAAATCAGATTTAAAGTTGGTTTAAATGTTCAACTGAAGGAGAATATGTGAATCAATAAATCTAGAACTACTCCAAGACCACCAGCAGCACAGTAACATCAGAATGATCACATCACAGCAAATGCACAACATAGAAGAGACCACGGGGATCTACTACCACAGCCCTACTATGAAAAGAACCAACTAATGAGTGTCATAGCAAATACTGCCACACCACCAGTGATGTCAAGCAATGCTACAGTCCTTCAAACAACCTAGTGACCTACTTTATCTTCATCTTCCACCACCAACTCCTAAAGTCACAATAGTTTCTACCAAGAAGCCCTTTTTCTTCTTGCCGATGGTAGAGAATTGCAGTCAACAACATGGGAAGCCTTTCCTTGTTATGAGTTTGACATTTTTCTTCTGATATTTCTAGAAACTTAGTTCTTTAGGTAAACACTATTTTTTATCCGTAGAAAGTAATTTTATTAATGTAGCTTGAAGAATACAAGAAGGTGGGTGTAAGATTCACCCCAGCAACACAAGAAACCCAATAGAATATATGTCAATCACAGGCTGCCTTGAGAGAGTTTGACAGTGGATTTGGCAACAACTGATGATAGTAGCACAGATAGTTCTCATTAATCATTGAAAGCCATGAAACCTATATCCTTAATAAGTTCAACAGAGCAACTTCTATGAATCCGCAATTACTATTAATTTGGTCAATTTGTAATCCTGTTGGCATACCAGTTTTTGAAATTCTTTGAGCTGTTTTCAGGAAAAATAACAGCAAATAGAAAATGTCTTACAGTGTTATTTTCAGGAGAAACCCAATAGAATCCTTGAATTGCAATGATAACCAAGTTAGAAGTCACAAGGATAAAGATACTTAGAGAATGTTTTCCCATCCACTCCAACAAACATGCCAACCATTTGTAATTACAAACATCCACCTGTGAAAGACCAAGGTAGAAATAAGCATGCAATTGAACAATAATCATGTCATGGAAACTCAAAATCTTATTAAAGAGTAAATGACAGTTCAAGTTCAGAACAGTGAAAGAGTAAACGCAATTAGTACAGCTTGTATGTCGGCATTATTTCATTTGCTATACCCAAGTTGTATAATTTAGCAAGTATGAGCAGACATAGAAGAGCCACTTCTGTAGAATCTCGTAAACAATAACATTCATGAAAAATCTGTAGCATTCTCTGTTTTAAAGTTTGCAGAAGGATTTTTTAATCTGCATAAGTAAATGAAATTTACATTATATCCAAATAAACATTGCAAACTGATAGAAGTCAAAGGCTCTAAAAGAGCAAGGGAGACCAAAGAAAATGTGGTTGAAGTGGTGAAAAATGATTTAAGGTTGAGTTGAGTTGAGCATCTCTATATAAAATATTTAAAGCAAATATATTCCTTTTTTTCATTGGTAAGAAAATATATTCCATATTATCTCCCTATAAACAATGTTGAGGCCTAAAGAAGATATAACAAAGGCCACAGGACATAGCTGATAACATAAAATGCATTTTTAAGGTAAGCATCATACTAGATCCTTGGAAGTAGGAGGCACACTGCCATCTTGCAGGCTAAGTGCCTAGAGCATGGAGCAAGGGGGCAAAAACAGGGTCATATTGGTATAGGGTGGGCTATCCACATTACTAGGTGGGATGTGTAAGCCATCAATAAATCTAAACTGATTTTAGAACCAAAAGAGAAGGGACTATAAGTCAATGTTTATCTGGGGTAATCACCCTTAAATAATTTATTGACAATGACAGATAAGACAAAGGAAAAAAAAAAACCATTTCCACTACTTCTAAGTTTGCATATAATGGAAATTTGGAAAGCTAGTTTCTTTAGCAAGCAGATTCAGCAACTCCACTGTTATCCCACTTCCTATACTGATCCAATAGACTTTTTAGAAAATGTAATCATGTACTCATTGATAAGCAAAAATATTTGTGCACATGAGAGGAAGTAAAGAAATTACAAAAAGATTACAAGTCCCATCCCCCAACAACAACAAAAAGAGGATGAACATAAAGCTTTTATAATGAAAAAAAGCTCTTCCTTATCCCGCTCTTGCAAGTCCATTACTACCAGTCTACAATCCACCTCCTTTGGACAGGAAAAGCTGATAGAGTATCTAATTTTGTTCAGCTAGTGGGCCAGATCCCTAGGCCCCTTCCCACATCTACTATAATATGAGCATGATCCCTTCAACATCAAGAGAAGACCTGAATCTCTTCGTTTGTAGTTAGTATTCCCGTCGCCATCATGATTCCTACTAGTATATTCATTTCTTATAATTGTTCTCCACAATTAATTACCAAATCTTTGAAGCCATTTCTCAAACATAAATCTCTTATTATACTCAAAGGCATTCACCTTACACATCTTCTGTAGCACAATTTACTTTGTTCCAATTGGCAAGATAGCAACCTTCCTCTTCCTTTTAACTGCTTCAAAGAAAATGTCAATCTCCAAGACTGGAATAAAAGAGAGATTGTTTCAAAAAACACCATTTTTTATTAGTAAGAGTACTACAGCACCACTTATGGTTTTAAAAACTAAAAGTGATGCTATTGGAATTCTGACATTCTAAGATACTAGTTTTTGTAAAGAGGATAGTCTGTTCACTAAACAGATCCATCTGAAGGAAGGAAAAAAGAAAAGATCCATCCAAAGATTCAAAAAGAAAGCCAGTGAGTCGGTGCATAGAGCACCACTTGCTTGAGAAATGGACAACTGTGGGGATCACAATGACATAAACTTTCCTATAGTCATTTATTTCCAGACTTTCCAGTCAATAAGAGCCTGATGCTCAATATCTTCTAGAAAGCTTTCTTCACAAAAGCAATCAATGAGCTGAAGATAAATCCACTGAAATAGCAAGACATGATCAAATAGAACCTTCACAGTCTTGAGAAAGTCAATTCATAGCATAGATACAGTTGGAGGCTACTTTAGGGGATGACCTATGCAGCCTTATTCATCCACAGACTGAAAAGGCTGTTTGTATAATAGTGAGCTGCCCATACATATAATACACTTAATGTTCGAAGCTTACCAGTAAATACAGAACACAAAAAGTTATCCCTGCAGAAGCAGATGTAACAAGCAGATAACTGATTGTATATAGAGGTTTGTTTAGGGGGATTCCTGAGAAAAATACAAAAAAAAGGAAAAGGAATTAGTTTTATGACATGTCAGGACATCTTTCCATATGTTAGAATACTCTGCTTGCTTGTTAAATGCACATACCTAGAAAGGTCAGCAAAAAACCAAGGGATAACAGAAAAATTGAAAGTGATATCCAATGAAGAAGCCGACTCCTGTGGTCCTGAAAACATTTAACATCACATTCTCAGATTCACTTACAGCTAATGAGTAAGTCAAGTTATTTGAATATACAGAAAAGTTAATTGCTTTGCATTCTATGATGTGTAGATATGGATATGGCATGGAAATTGAAGTTGGAAATATGGGTATGACTGTGCATTACCTAAGATCCAGGGAATGGACACAGGTATTGGTATCTCATTCAATATTGTCCATATCATGCTTTTGTATCTAGTTTTAAAAACTGACTTTTCTTAGTACCAATATCTTGCCAAATTTAATTGAACGTCCAAGTTCTAATGTATACATGTCTTTTTTATAATTATACTCCAAAAGTGTCAATGCATTATCTAGTGTCATGCCGGGTATGTATCATGCCCACAAAGGCATGTACAAATATCCGGGAGGCATAGGTCATTAGGTATATACAGAAATTAGAAAAAAAAAAAAAAAAACAAACTTAATGTGTTTCAACTGGAGATGTCAGTGAATTTTGTTTTATCATTAATTAATCAAAATCTTTATTGATGTGTCAGATGAAGAATGATATACAAGTAAAATTATGCTAAACTTAAACACCCCTTTAAACCTTGGGCAAGTTGATGCTACCCAGCCCACTGATTTCAATTATTTTGCTTAGACATTACATGCATATCCATAGTTAGACAACTCATACACAATTTATTCTTGTTCACCTGATGATGGAGCCAAAGAGTCCAAACTGGAATTCTTATTATATTGCCATGACAGATTGATAAAGGGACCTAAAGAAACTGGTCCCATATATTTACGGAAAAAAAGAAGAAGTTTTTTTGTCCTGTTTCTTTCTTCCCTTTTCAGACATCATGTGTTTTCCAAATACAAACACAGAGGGGAGAAAGAGGATAAGAAATTTTGGATAGGAGTAAAAAGTGCAAAAAACTGATCTGATTTAAAAACTGTATAGAAAAGAAAAGGAAAAGATTGTGCAGAGAAGAGAAGAAGAGAAAGGTTGAAGAGAATGGGGAGAAGCCAAAACAGAATTAGGTCTGGTCACCCCTTTCATTATCTTATACACTCAAAATAAAAAGGGATACAATGACAAGTATACCCTTAGTAAGTCGGCCACTACTAAAACATAAGAGCATACTCTCAGCTAAACATAAACCAACGGGCCTTGGACCCAATAACTCTAACTAAACATTATAAATAAAACAAAAGATAAACTAATGGCTAATGGGCCTTGGGCCTAATAACTCTAACTACACATTATAAATAAAAAACAAAGGATGTTATCAGCCCAATCTCAACAATAGGTACAACAACCTCAAGTTATCTCACCTCTAACTGTACAAGGACATGGCCGTAGTGGAGTCCTATGATGCAGGCCACAGCAGCTGTTAAGGAGCTAGAAGACAAGTTCCATAAGTAGAACAGATAGAAGTAAAAGTTACATTTATTGAATATTAAATGAAATTTTTTTAACTACCATGAAGACTTACCATAAGGATCAGATATGCATTTTCAATTGTATAACAAATTAATCAACAATAAAAATTAAGTACTTCACTTGTGACTTGTCAAACAAACTATACAAATGGAGAAGGGAAAAGGTAAAACATTATTGAAATATTTGATTAAAAAGGTCTAAATATAAGCTGATGGTCAACACTAGGCTTGTCCAAGAGAGAAGCACAAAAAAAACAAAGATACAGGTCATCTAAGTGGATCCACCAACATTTCAAAGGATCTACTTATATTAATAGGCTCAATATCTACAATTACAAAGTAGCCCTTATGACAGGACAAAAGGAAATGAAAGAATAAAAAGAAAGAGGAAAAAGACCATCCATCTAGTTCATTGTGTCGTTCGGTTTTAGAAGCCTAAAGTTAAACCAGAGATTCTCACTAGCACAACAAGCAAAGTAATTGAATTTTTTGTTTAAAGCACTAAAGTATTTATATTAAAGGCTGTGTGTGTATATAATTCGTACATCAGAGCCTGTGTATATTAATGCTCTATATAGAGGAGCAGATCATACAAAAGACATCATGCCACCACTCGTCAAAGAACTACCTCTTTTAAACTAGCCTTGTTCTTTATAGTTTATACAAGTATTTCTTTCACTTCATCTGGTCCAAAAACAGTAAATGGAGTCACAGAAACTCTTAAAAAGTTCTAAAGGCATTCCTTTGTGGTATTCATTATTTGATGGGAAGTAGACACTAGTATTGAACAAGGATTTTTATGATAAATGATAAAAGAAATCGTATTACTATAAAGGAGGGCAAAGAGCCTTCAATCTGTACAAAAAGTGTAACTACATACCATAATTCTTCACACTCGGATCAAAAGATGATGGATGCCCACTCATTCCTCATGTGCGTCCATTATATCTTCCCTATGATAGTCTCCAAAGAGACCTCTTTGGAATTCATAGAATCAAAATAGACAACAAAGTTTTCTCCTCTTGTTTAGAGTCTTTAATTGCCAACTCTTAAAGGGAGTTCTTATGGATAACAGGAGGGTTCAGTACAGTCTGAAACTCTGAATATCTCAAGAAAGCATATGATCATAGTAGGGTAGTGAAGCACAGAAGCAACAACCCATGAAAAGAAGGTCGGCTCATTCCTGAGTGCTGGAGCAGAGAACATAATCAGTGTCATTTGGCCCCATGCCACCTCCACTGAGATTGTTGATGGTAATTCAATTACCAAAGCAACACAGAAGACAATGAAATTATTTAAAACTAAGAATGATTATGACCACTACTTAATCCAGAAAACCAATACCAAATATGTCTGAGAATAAAACATGTGAAATATAATGGAGAATTATGGAAAGGAACCCATACACTCTTCACCTAAACAGCAAGGATCCCCAGAGTGGAGAATAACAAAATTCCTGCAAAAAGTCCAGATATGGTAGTTCACCTTAAAATGCCTTCAGGATCAAAAGGAGCATAGCACCATGAAGGTGAAGGATCTGAAATTTGGCCACTCTTGGAACTATTGCATTCCTGATAAATAAAAAACTAGGGTTAGTCACAGGTTTTTGCATGCACATTTGGATAGCCAAGTGAAGATTACCAACTCCAAACCAACATCCATATGGAACAGGGAATTTTTCTATGCAGCACCAGCAATGCGAAACATTAATAGCATACCCTAACAATTTCTAGAAATTACACATACCTTCAATTTTCTATAAACAGGATTTCTATATAGATGATCAACACCAAGAACATAACGATCAATCACTCCAGCAGAATTACATGCCGGTCCAAGGTCACCTCTAACTGCACACTTCACCTACAATCAGCTTAACATAATGAATACACACCCATCTTAGACACACAACATGGAAAAGTTTCAGTGATTTTATAAAGATCATCATTTTTAAGAGAGAGAAAGAGAGAGAGAGAGATAAGCACAGGCAGTTTATTAAATATAGAGATTTAATGGACTTTAACTGTAGCAGGAATTCTAAAGTGCAATCTCATCACAATTACACACAAAATATTAGGTGTTAAGAAAATTAAAAAAAAAACCAAAGTCCCACAACAGAAATAAGAGCTCGGATTCACCCATAGAGAAATTCCGCTCCCAAAACAACTGTACTAATTCTTAAGGTAAGGTTGAACAACCCATAGAATCTCTTAGATTCTTGAAAGAAGCTTGCGGACTTCTTGGATTTTTTACCATACAGCCTATGAGATACAATAGCTTCCACATGAGAGAATTTTGGTAGAATATTTATTTCACTAGTTTATGTTCAAAATCATAAATAGAGAATAATTAGAAGTTTCTTGTAATTTTAATTTTTATGCAAGGAACAATCAGGAAATTTTCAAATTTTCTATAAGGGCTATAACCTTGTTGGAATGTCACCTATGCTTTAGACCTTTCTTGGTTAAGATGTTGCACTACAATGTACAATAAAATTTTCTGCCCGGATATTTTTAGCTTTATACCACTACTACTCGATCTGCATTTCTTAAACTAACTCTTCAATGTTATATTTACTTCCTGAAACCAAATTATTGATGAAATCTCTTGATTCAACTCTCAAACCCTAAACTCTAGCCTCTAGGTTACTCAGGAATAGTCCTAATTTTCAATTGCAATGTCTTCTGCTTCCTTGGGTATTAAAATTTCCCTCCTTTAGTGTTAGATCCTATTCCCTCAGTGTCAACATTTATAGGATATCCTAAACTATTTTTGCTTCATTCTGCTATTTCCTTCCCATATTGATCTGGATTAAAAAAAAAAAAAAAAACAAAAAAGTGGAAAAAAGAAACATTTGATTCTTATATCCATCTTCAAAACATGGAGCAAAACAGTGCAAGCCTACAACATGAAGTCTGCCCAATTAAAAGTGCCTGAACTATATGCTACAGAAGTAAAATAGAAAGGCTCACCCTGTAAATAATATCACTGTCATTTGATGACAGCACAGAAGGGGTTGAGCGTTGCAGTCTAAATTGCCAATCTGGAACATATAAACCATATAATAGCCCCGTATATATGGTCAATAATGCAAAAGCCAAACACCTGATGAGAAAAGGAAAGATTTATAAGAAAATATATTTTTTCTAAATATGCTTAACTTGATTGACCACCGCAAAAAATAAATAAAAATAAAAAATAAACCTTCTTCACATTCCAATCATTAACAATTCGCTGACTATCTACACAACATTCTCCATGCAGCCTTTTTTTATGTTGAGACTCTCTTTTCTAAGCTTTTTTGTATAGCCCTATGTCCAATTTCTCAATGTACATGGGTAGCTGCATATTATGGCAGTTTGTTTTATTCCAATATAATACTTTACCTTTCCGAAAGAAAAAATAAAAATAAAAATAAAAAGCATGAAAGTTGAAGCAACAAAGGATTCAAAAGTTGCTAGTAAGCAATAAAAAACATATGCTTGTTATATTTTATATAACTGCAGTACTTAAAATTTCAGCACTTAAGCTCTACAATCTTAGATTCTCCCGACCATCTTACAACAATTAGTATTCAGGGAAAGCTTGGTTCTCCAATATGCTATTTTACTGGATGACTTTGCCTCCTTTTTCTGGGACACTGGATAGTCAAGCTACTGCCATGCACCTCTACCTGAGAAGTTGGGAGCACAATCTTATTTTCCAGAGGTATCTAATCTGTGGAAACCAGGCCTCTGACTTTTTCCCTGGTTCCAGGGATATTTAGTGTAATTTCCATGTATCTACTGTGGAGCATGGTCATTAAATTAGTTGAGCCATCACTCAGCAATGTTTGACGTTTCATGAACATAGAATCTATAGATTAGGAGTTATTTATGTTTTTTCATCACTTTTTAATGCAAAGGCGATTTAGTAAATGTGCCCAATTCTCTATGCCAACCTACATCCAGAAGGGCCATTACCAACAATAGCTGAGATTTTACACTGCAGCAAGCAATGGCCCCTTGGCCAACCTATTACCAACAACTCAGCACCTATAAATGAGTAAAACAGTGCTAGAGTCAAGAAGACAGAATTTTTATGTAGTTTTGAAGCTTCTATCAAGTTTGTAGGCAATTCATCACAAGCAAGTAGGCACGTGACCAACTTCAAATTTCAAGCATTTCCACTGAACCTTAAAAAAAATGGTGGTGGGATAAAGATGTTGAACTTAACCAATAGAAACTTACCCTAACCAAAATATACCATCTAAAACTGTAAGAAAATAAAAAAGAAATCATTATAAAGTACATAGCACCCCTCTAGGATCAGATCTGCAAACTCTATTTCAGCTGTTTAATCAAATTTATCTGTTATTAACAGTATTTTAGCTCAATTTTTGAAAAAGTTTCCTAAGGCTAGCCTCATGGTGTGGCTTAAGAAAAATTCCTGAGGCTCAACCATGAGATTCATGCCTTAAAAGTAAAAGCCACATCCCTTGCACCTTGAGATGCCTTATGTCAAGAACATATATTCTGTATATTCATCAAAGTAGAGCCTTCATCACAAGACCCAGTTAAAAACCTGTTCTAAGTAGTGCAGTGGTTATTTGTTTAAAACTTTAAACATTTAGAAGATTTAGCACCAATTTGAGGTTTTGCTTTAAATTAAGATTTTTAAACATTTTTGAAGGATTGGTAAAAATGCAGATAGTTTTTTTTTCCTGGGCCTTCTTTAATGCTCTTAGTATCAAGGTTTTTAAACCATCATTGACCCAGATGGTCGGACCGTTTAGCCTGGGAACCGGCCAAAGTACCGGTTCCATTTCAGCCCCAAACTGCTATTTTAAGAAAAACCGTTGAAACAGTTAGAGATACGCTGACCCAGGCAGTCAAACTGTTGACCTGTTCAACCTGACAGTGGTTAGCGGTTTGTGAATAAAAATAATTTAAATTAAAAGAATTAAAATATCATGCTTTGTCCTAATTTTTAAGGCCCATTTCGACAAAGACAACAACTTTACTCTTTAGTCTAGGGTTTCTTCATTTCTCTTGAGATCAAGTTAAGAACTCAAGACACCAGCGGCTAGACTGTGGAGTAGTGCCGGCGACCATGACTTGTAGCGGTGAGCCGGCAACAACCACTTGAGTTTATTCAGTTTATCATTCTCTGTTTCCCAAGTTTTATTCAAGATTTTTGTTTCCCTATTAAAGACTATGGAGTAGTGTTGGCAGCCACTACTTGCTGCAACGACCATGACTTGCAGTGGTGACCACCAGGTGACTTTTTAGTTTTTTCAAATAGTGTTACAATAGATGGTCCCACCCCCTTTCCCAGTTCATCTAAAAACCTTATGTTTGCTAGTTTTTCTTTTCTTTTGTTTTGGAATCATGATTCCTGAGTTTTAGATAGATTCAAGTAAGCAAATTAAACTTGTAGTTGTGACTCAAATATGAAACTAAATATGAACCGTAAAACAAAGCATGAGAATGTAAGAAGGAAATCAGGCTTTAGTTTGGACTTTGTTCCTGCATCGACCGACCACCCACCTGGTGGTTTTAAATTGTTCTTTGTCAAATGTCTGGATTTAAAGTCTAACATTCCCTAACAATCTGATATCTGCAACAGGGTCTACTTCTTGCAGCGGCGATTGGAAGTTTGGAACCATTGAACAAGAATGTTTTCTTTATCTTTGGGAGCAAAATCATGGGGTTTGGGTCTCATTTTAACTTATTATTATTATTATTATTATTATTATTATTATTATTATTATTATATAATTATTTTTGACGTCACAGGTCGAATCATTCAACCCAGATTGTTGAACCACTGACCAGGAAACCAGAGGCCAAAGAGTTTCCATTTCCAGGTCAGTTTTTAAAAGTTTGCTTACTATCCTTCTTATATAAAAATAGTCTTTCCTGTATCAATAACAATGTCCTAACTTCCCCAATTGAAACCCTATCCCTTGCCCTTTAGAACCCAAATGAACCAAAATTTCCTCTTAGAATTTTCTTACTTTCTATACAAATATCATGCATTATAAGTAGGGGTGATCATTTCCAGCCTGGACCCAGGCCCACAATATATTATTTATATATTAAATGTATTACATTATATTGTATTATGTTTATAAAATATTATAAAACAGCATATATAATAAATTATATCATATATTTTGTACATACACTGCATGCGATATAATGTAAAACATTATATGCGATATAATATTATATTTATATCCCAGCCCATGATCACCCCTAACCATAAGTGGTTCTGTGAGACTTACATAAAAGAGATTTCAGATAATGTATTGCCAAATATACCATAAGCCTATTGTGGCAACAAAAAACATGAGGAGGCATACCCTTACCAGTGCAAATAAGAACCCTTGAAAAGCCGACCTTCCCTTTGGATTTTACAGGGAAACCAAATTTCACATAAAGCAGCAACTATGCATCCAATAGATATTCTCTGTGCAATTAAAATAGAATTTCAGTTTGCCATCCTATTTGTAAAGGAGGTTCTAAATGAAGTGAAAAAAAAAAAAAAAGTAGAAGAGTTCAAAAAATATTTAAACTTCCAAAGGAAATACAATACTGAAGCCCCTAAACCATACAACACAGATAGGTTTTTATCCTCTTCATCAAATTATGTATGAATATGAAAAAAAGGAGGAAAAAAAAGAAAAAGTAGAAAAAGGAAGCATATAGGAAAATGACAAAAGGGAAGAAGAAACAAACTGAAAAAACAATATGCAGAACTCATTCAATATTTAAACTTATAGATGAAGCTATTTGCAATCTATAAATCATACAACTACATACACACACCCCCTTCCCAAAGGGGTGGAGGAATCACACTGACTAAACTACCTACTACTATTGTGCTCATTTAACTCCATGTGCTGTTTAAACACATTGGTTCAAGTAGAATTTGGGTATTCAAATGGTAGGTACACTCTGGATAAGATGCTAAATCTTCAAAAAGTTCCAAGTGAACCACATGTTATATGTTTGACACAATGATCTGTGTTAACCATATGTCGAGCATTTTCTTTTACCATTTCAGTGGGAATTATGCCATCTTTCAGCATGAAATGAATTTTGTTATTTTAACTAAATCTCAACATACTTGTCAACCATATGTCTAGCATATTTTTCCCTTTTCAGTAGGAATAAAAACATCTTTCAGCATGAAATGAATTTTGTTATTTTTACTAAACCTCAACATATCAACCATATATCTAGCATTTTCTTTTCCCTTTTCAGTGGGAATCATAACATCTTTCAGAATGAAATGAATTTTGTTATTTTTACTAAATCTTAACATACTTTAAATAATTCATGTTTTCAACCTGGCATGGCACCAGCTGTTTTGGAAGCAAATGCACTGTGAAATTAAAAAATTAGTACAAAAGAAAGAAAAGAATAATCCTAGCTTAGCTACCAAATAAAAAAGTAGAGATCTCCATATTATGTAATCCATTAAATCAAGTGCAAATAAGGGTACAAGCATAGATGTCCATTTGACACGCACAAGGATATGATAATTAGATGATATTGTTGGCACTTGACACAAAATTGAATTTTTTTATCAATAATGAGATAAAAAAGTGCATCAATGTGAATCAAAGACTAAACCAAGCAGCTGGGAACACAGGACCCGTGGATGGGGTTGCGACACTCATAATTTTCCATTACACCATATTTGGAACATAGTCAACATACAGACCCACCATTGGATGGGCAAATCAGCATTGCAGAATATTATAACCATCTGATTTGACCATATACAATTGGATGGTGGAGAAAACTTTCTATAAAAGTTGACAAGAAACTTTATGGGATGGATATCAAGACTTGGGACTCGTGTATGGTTCCTGTTTCAGCGTCATCCATTGTTAAGGGCCTTTAAATCATTTCTCACTGCAACCCATATCATTTCTGGCCTGCCCCTAGCTCTTCTAGATGCTTCAACATGTAAGAGATAACTTCTTCTAATCGCTGTAGAAGGAGGTCCCCCCACTCCAATAATGAAAGAGAAAAAGGAAACAACAAATCAAACTACAAAGAATAGCCAGGCCCAGGAATGGTCAAACCTCAATAAGACATTCCAAAATTGAGTGATAAATACAAAGTTGAACATCATTATAAAAGAGTATCAACAAAAGGAACACAGACCAAGCAGATTAAAGTATACACCAAAATCTATTTTCCCATGCCTGTAAAATGCCAAACCAGCGTATCCGTTCAATATCAACACCAAAAGTCAAGGAAGCTGTTCCATGCAAATAACCACCTGAAATGAAAAGACGTATTTAAATTTATGTTTATTTCAATGATAGCCAGTTTATATAGTCAATAAATGTAATGGATATAGATTGCAAAATAAAACATATGCTATTAATATTAGCCAACATGGTCACTCATTGGCAAAGCTAAGAGGAGAGAAATTTATGACACTGTTCCTCCAAAATTTTCATTCCACCAAATACAAGCAGAGGAACAAAGTGATAAAACTCTTTAGAAACAATGAAGAACTGACCCATCATGTAAGGCCCAAAAAACAGATGCTGGTGAATAATTTAATGGCATCTTTAGGCTATGGACAGTGAATAAGAACTTTGTGATCAGGTGATAAAATCAGATTTTGGGAAAACCTATGGTGGGGAGAGCATCCCTTAAAGGACAAATTCCCCAACCTTTTCTATCAATCCTCCCATAAAAACTTTGTTGTCACCCACCATGTTTCTTTTTTTGGTTAATTCTTTTTTGTGGGACTTGGTCTTAAGAGATGACTAAGAGAGTGGGAATTCTCTAATGCATTGGCTCTTATTAATTCCTTGGAGGGTGTGATTTTGGATAACTTTGATCTGCTAGTTCTTCTTTTGTGCTTTTTTTTCTAAGTAAAAGAAAATTTTCATTAAAAGGAATAAGGATGCAAACTGGGAGGGTGATTTTCTCTTTTGGCTGAAGCGTCTCCAGTAGGATTTGCAATACTTCTTCCCAATCCTTAACCTCTGTTTTCACTTTCACAACTTTCCTCTTAAACCAGTCCCCATTCCTTCCATCCCATATTATTTTTGAACTCGTATCTGTCGAAAGTACTGTTATAGGAGTAATCTTTTTAGTTTGCTTTTGATGGTTTGCTTTCCTAGTTTGGCTCTCACTCACCTCCCCAGATTTTTGTTCTTTCCTCATAGTTTGCTCTTCAGTATTCGAGAACTCCCATTTTTTCTGGTTGAAATCATCAAGTGCGCCTGCGACCATCTTTCACCCTTGTTTAGCTTGTCCCTCCGGAAGGCATACTAGTTGTTTTCTCCCTTTGCCAAAGAACTCTGTTAGTAAAATAAATCCTCCATTTCTGTTCCTTCTATTTTCTACTGTGAATCTCTTCCCTTTGTTTGTTGTTTCATTTCCCCACCCTTCATTCTTTCTGCAAATAGAAGACCATCTACGAAACCTTTAAGCCAATCCACTACTTCTGATTCCATTATGATAGTTGCTTGTCGGTCTTCCCTAATTTTCAATAGCTTCTTCCCTCTGCTTGTTATTTCCTCCATAAGGACCTTCTTCTTCTCCAACTGGAGTATTCTTCTCCATTTTGTTGCCTGAACGAAACTCCCCATTTCTCCTAGTCTTGCTCACCTTCTTTTTTCTATTATACACCTTGTTCTGCTGCTCTCCACTATCTTCTAAAATTTGTATCTTCTTCTTTCTTTTATTCCCCCCCCCCCAACAACAACTCCCCACTCCTTCCTTTTCAAAACCTTCTCTGACCCCTCTTCTCAATCTTCTTTTCTAGTAAGGACAGTTTGGAGGGGGCCAGTCCACCAAAAGTTGGGGCTTTTTCTGGGAGGTGGTTTATATGAAAATCACTACTTGTGATAATATTCAAAAGAGAATACCAAATTCGTCTCTCCAACCTCATGTGTTTCTTATGCAGAACAAGTTGTGACACTGTGCACTGTTGCTAGTTTATTGTCCATTTGTATCTGGCATTTTTTTAATTATTTGGATGCAAGTGGACTCATCCAGCAGAGCTGAGAGGCTTGTTTCAAGCCTTTTTCTTTTCCACTCCTAAGGAAAGAGTCAAAATCTTATGAAGATATGCAAGAACATCCATTTTATGCACAATCTGGGGAAGATAGGAATGCGTGAATTTTCAAAGATAAGGTTCAAACAATTTAAACCATATCTATAAGGGTAACGCATTGGGTAAAATCTATACCTATCTTTGACTCTTATGCTATAGAGTATAGATGATAACAGTAAGAGGAAGGCATGTTGTTACATCTTCCTCATTAGTTAGTGCACAGATGCTCCCATTTTGGTCTCCACCGGCCTATGATCTCATTCAGTTGAACATTGATGGATAGTCAAGGTAAGCCAGGGATACCAAGAATCGGGGGAGTTTTCAGGAATTGAAATGGTCTAATTATGGCATTATTCTCTAGGCCCCTTAGGATATGGTGACTCTACAAGGTCATAAATAGACAATATAGTGTAACTTAAGGAAGATTTTGTTTGAAATCACTACTTTGTGAAAAGATTCTGTATATCTAGTTGTGTCAATTATCCTGCAAACCAGATGCAATTTTGGAAGAGCATATATTAAACAAAAAGCATAGAAGATCTCAGGTAAAGGATATCCATAAAAATGATTTTTTATCAATACATGAAAATGAAATTACCTTGAAGAAAAATACCAAGAAAGAAGAGTTTCACTGCTCTTAGCACCGCCTTGTGTGTAGCCAGTACTCTGTCTGTTACATTCTGTAATTGGCAAAAGTGAAATATCCTTCAGTTACTAAACCAGTGATTAAATTATTAAGTAAATAAGATCAATATACAAGTATATGTATAACAACCATTAGCCAAAATAACAAGTTTTATCTCTCTCCTGGGAAAGAAAACTGTTCTAGACAGAATTTCAGATACCTTGTAAGCAAGTGCAAGAGCAAAACCAGCAATGAAAAGAAAGAAAGGCATCACAAAGTCCGCCAAGTGTAGACCATTCCATGGGGAATGGCCAATGGAAGGAAGAACTGGACCAGCATAATCAACCAACATCATGAGCTGAAATAATAAAATGCAGTTCAGTGTAAGTGCATGACTGTATTCATCACAGAAAAAGTATCTTGGCTAATGAAAAGCATATTTTGTAAACGTCAGAGGAACTAAATCTATGACGCAGAAGTTGAAACATGGCATTAATCACGTCTATCTCTCCAAGTTTATTAGAAACATTTAGATAGAGACATGCATACCATTCTGTAGTCATCATCAGCCACATCTCAACTTGATGACAGTGTTAACTAATTCATTTGGGTGCATCTAGTTCTCAAAGTTTCTAGCATCTCTTTAAAAAGGAATACAACTATAAATATTTAAACACAATTGATCTTTAATGTGAATATTGGTTTTCTTATATCTCATGGTAAGAGGCTGGTAAGAACACACTAAGGACAACTCTAATACTACTCATAATGCTGGCCCTAGAATCAAGAAACATAAAGGTAAAGGTTACCAGAAGAAACTGAACAACTCCTCCTACCTAATATTGCCATGGTTTGGAGCTTTTGATATAATGTCATATGAACAAAGTTTGAACATGTCCCCTGTAATATTAGTTTATTAAGCTCTTTCTTCCCTAGTAAGGCCATAACTCTTAAATCTCAGCCAAGGTAAGTATCATTTTTGGAATGAAGATGATAATGGTGGCAATAAGAGGAATGCTAGCTGCACAACCCATAATGTGTAGGGACCTTTAAAGCACAAACCATAAGCAGTATTTCTGTTAAAACCACATCTAAACCCCATGTATTAACAAAAGCACCCTATTCTTATGTTATAAGGGGAGTGTGGCTAGTAATTATTTGATGAAAAAATATAAAAGAAAACAAATAATACTGATAGAATTCAGCCAAGTCAAGACTAACTTGATTGAATAGGCACTGCTTCATATTAATAAATAATTCTAATTGAGTCAGCAAAAGAAGGGATTTTTTGGATTCTCTATGCATATAATGTGCCTAACCTTTTGCTTAACAACAAAATACTCCAGGTGATGAGACAGAAACCTTAAAATAAGGTAGCATGATATCTCAATATGGAATAAAATGGAAATTATGGAATTTTTCAATGAAACAAAATAAAATAAAACAGATACAGGTTTATATCAAATGCCTACTAAATGAATGTTAAATTGACATGTACAGAAACAAAGCAAAGCTACCGTTGTTCGGCATTATACCAACTCAAGAAAAACCGTAGCGAGAGGGAAGATGCCTGTCAGTCCCTAGGAAGGGCTGAAATGAAAGTAAATATTTTTTCAGTCGAGAGGCTTACTTGACAATTGACAAAGTTCTCCAATTCATATCATATAAAGATGCTTAAACAGTCAGATTTGCTTATGCACTTTTCTTAGTCTCACACCAACCAAAAATAACTATAACGGTTTAATTATTGGTAATGATCCCAACAATCAAATCAATAAGGTCTTGCAACTCAGACTAAATGGTTTCTGTCTGCACAATAAATTACGCCTTTTGAAAAATAAAAGAAGGGTAACAATATCAAAAAACGCTTATCAATGCACAACAATACAACTCATCCAAAATTAGTGTGCGAGATAGAGTTCAAGATGTATACACATCGTGTTAACATTTGGAAATTGAACTCGTAACAATAAGAATTTCTACAAAGTAAAATCGCGAAAACAATCACTTCTAACTAAGAAAACGAAAAAGCATCAGGAAACCATCAAGACTTTAACTGAGATGTACTACTGTCTAGAAAAAGAAGCAATAGAAACTGCATAAGACTTGTAGAAGGAAGCAGAAAACAAGATCTGAATGGAAGGAAGAGCTCACGAAGACGGAAAGACCACGGAAGACGTCGAGAGAGGCGATGCGACTGCTTCTTCTCTTAACCTTGGGCTCTTCATCTTCTACGGCTTCTCCTTGGTCCTTCAGTAATGCGACGTAATCAGCCATTTGCAGCCCGTTGGTCGGCAAACAAGCGACGACTACTGCAACTACGATTCAAGCAAGACAAGCTTTTCTTTTCTGCTTTGCGTTTGGCTGACCAGTAGTGAGAAGAAAGCATCTCCCTCAGTCCCTATGGTGTTTCGCAGCTTTCTTTCGCTGCTCTTCCGAAGGAATCCGAATCACCTGCTAACAAAACACATCCCAATTTCCAACCCTCTCTTCTGATATAATCTTACACCGCACATCTCATAAATGGCGGGACAGTATCATGGATTCACTGCCGGGTTTCGCTAACATATTATTGTAGGCCCAACATATTTTATTAATGCCCAAGAGATGCCAAATTTCTCCCGGGAAGATTACCTTGGAATATCAAACTTCTGGTGGCATATATGCCTAGAAGATAAAGCTTGATTTGCTGAGGGTCGTTATCGACAGTGGACCCCATGCATAATAATGTCTTGAGATTTTGGGTTTTGGCAGTTCTAGAAACTGTTGAAATTTCCAACGGCCAGGATCATGCAAATCAATATCATCCACCGAATGAACTGTTCCGTTCAAAATATTACGGTTTTAAACGGAGCCACTAATCTTGAATCCACATGTTTGGCTAGGCAGGACCAACTAAGTGGTGGCCAGTTTTTTTTCAAAGATGATAATATAATACATACTCCTTTACATTTGCTGTATCCGGGGAGGATAATGATTTAACAAAAAATGATCATGTTTGCTCCATCGTGCAATTTAATGCGCAGGAATATTGAAACTCCTATTTATAACTTATAACCTTTAGTCCTATACGCTCACTTTGGAAAGAGTATAAATGCATACTATAAATAATATATACAAAATATAAGGTTTTACGCATTTGTATTTCTTTCAAATTCAGCCATAGCGTCCCGCTATTATTAAAATATTGTATTAAATAAACAAATTTAATTAAGCAAGGTGTTAGAGATTTATTCTCATGGAAGGAAGAGAGGAGGTTTTTTCTTTTCTTTTTGAGTTACAGCGAATTAGTGAAAGAGTGTGGGATGAAGATAATGTGAAAGAAATTCTAAATGAAAATAATAAAAATTATATCATCCCCCATGGTTTGGAAATGGATGGGGAATTAACCGAGCTCCAAAAGTTAAGTGGTTCCTTTATCTAGTTCTATTGGATAAACTGCCCTCGAAACGTTTGCTCATAGAGGCAGACTAAGAGATAGATTTCATCCCAGTTATCACAAATTATATGATCTCGGTCCAGGAGTTGTGGGTGGAATTAAAAAGAGCCAAAGAAAGAATTTGCATGCATGTAGCTAGCTATGTTTTGTCGAGTATTTGGAAAGTTGTCCTGTCCTCGAGGCAACCACATGGACATGGAAAGTGGTTCACCAAACTCCCTAACCGCCCGATTGCCATGCATCACCATGTGTGTCTATCGAGGATGGCAATTGGGAAAGGATGGAGTTGGCCATTCGCTGTCAATGCCAGTATAGTCGGGCTAACTCTTGTCAGGGTTCCTACTATCTTCTTAATTTTGTGAAAAACAGGTGGAGCCAATACCACCCCTATGGTTTTGCCTACCAGACTGGTTGGAGAGCTTAAATGCATGGTTTTCAAAACCACATTGGACTAGATGGTCGGACCGAAAAAATCGGTAACCGGTCAGCTATTCGGGTCCGGTTTTACTAGAAACCGGAAATTTGAAAAAAAAAAAACGTTGAAAAGTCAAAAACCGTTGACTTGGGCGGTCAGACCGTTAAACCGTTTGACACGGGTAGCGGTTCACAGGCTAAGATTTTTATTTTTAATGTTTTAAATAAAAAACAAAAAGTAAAATACCCACTACATCCCAACCAGTTCGAATCCTTATTCGATTTTCCTTTAGCTTTAGGGTTATTTCCCATTTTCCCGAGTTCCCTCCTCACTCCTCTCAACCCTCACACCCTACTGACCAATCACCTGCGGCGGCTATCACCTCTAGCATCCAACGGCATATACACACCGACGACGATCGGCGAGCTTGCAATGGCGAAAAGTAACCCTCACCCCAACACTTGCAGCGGCATCCAACGGCGAGAAGATCCAGCACTTGCAGCGGCGAGCGGCAAACGGCGAGCTTGCAATGGCAAAAAGTAATCCTCACCCTAGCACTTGCAGCGGCGTCCAACGGCGAGAAGATCCAGCACTTGCAGCGGCAAACGGTGAGCTTGCAGCGGCACTCAACACTCGGCATTTGCATTGGCGAGCCCAAGCCTGACTTGCAGGCTTGCAGCGGCAGCGAATCCACTCGGCACTAAGCACTTGCAGTCTTGCAGCGGCAGCGAATCCACTCGGCACTAAGCAGTTGCAAGCTTACAGCAGCAACTTGCCTGCAACCAAGCCCACAAAGCACCGAATCCACTGTCACACCACCATTACCGGCACTTGGCAGTGAAACCCTGAAGGTATAATTTTTTTTTGTGATTTAATTGATTTTTTGAATTTTTTTATTCATTTGGTTCATTAGCCCCTTTTTGTTCTTCATTTGGTTCATCGTTTTGCTTTAGACCTGCTAGGCATAGGCTTTTAGTGAATATTTTATAGTTTATAATTAGGAGCAGCAGACGATAAGTTGATAGATTTACTAGCAGAAAACTTATGCTTGTATTTTTGTATCAGTTTCTTGTTGATTATATGCCTTGTTGAACCCTCAAACTTCATTTGATGATCAGATGCTTAGTTCTTTGTTTAATTAATCTGGCTTAATTTGTTTTTAATTTTCATATGCATATTTTGCTTAATTTTCATATGATGATCAGATGTTGAAAGTTTTGCTTAAATTTTTGCAAGCAATTTACTCTCATTTCTAATGGAGTGAATTTAATTTTGGTTAATTATTTGCTTAAATATTTGTTATTATATGGAGCGATTTTACATTTTTGTTGGTTCTTTTAGTCAATGCAAGGTTTTAAATTTTATATGTTGTGTTTGTATGAAGGGATTTATTTTTGAGTTAGGTTTCTTTGATTGAACTAAGATGATGGAATCTCCAAGTCCAAATGCTAATACATCTGATCCAACTCCATCACAAGAGTCCAATTCATCAAATGTTAACGGAAAAAATGATTCTGCTTGAGAGCATGTTTCCCTTAAAGTTGACCATCTTAATGGATCAAAGTCAATGACATGTCTTTATTGTCAAAAGACTTTTAAAGGGAATATGATATTGCAATTGTCGTAAAGTACCCCATGATGTAAAGTTCAAAACAGAGCAATTGTTGAATGAAATCAATGACAAAAAAAGAAGTAAAAAGCAACCAATGAATTTTGTTGACACTAGAGCACAATGTGGAAGGAATGATAATGATGATGATATTGAGATTAGAGAAATAATTCCACCTAGTACACATGATACCTATAAAGGGAAAAAACCAACTACATCATCAAGAAAGGGGAAAGCATCTTCAGGGCTAATAACTAGCCATTTTGCTCCACGGACCACTCCAGGTGCACAACCTGGAATTAAGAGTGTATTGGCATCTAAGTGAGCAATTAATCATGTGGACCATGCTTTTATGAAGTGGTTGTGTGATGCCGGTATTTCCTTGAATGCTTTGTGTTCAAGATATTTTCAACCTATGTTGGATGCCCTTGCTACTATTGGTCCAGGGTACAAAGCTCATTCATATCATAATTGTAGGACCAATTTGTTGAAGGATTTAGTTCAAAAGGTGCAAATGTCAATTGATAAACTCCATAAGGATTGTGCTACATATAGTTGCACTATAATGGCTGACGATTGGACAGATACACGTAGACGAACATTGATTAATTTTTTAGTGTATTGTCCTACAGAAACTGCATTTGTGAAGTCTGTAGATGCTTCTGAAACAATCAAGAGTGCAGAGAATTTATTTATTTTGTTTAAGTTATTGATTGGGTAAAAGCAGAAAACGTTGTTTAGGTGGTCACTAACAGTGCTGCAAATTATGTAACTGTAGGAAGATTGTTGGATGCAGAATTTCCATGGATATATTGGTCATCTTGTGCAGCACATTGTCTAAACTTGATGTTAAAGGAAATTGAGGAAATGGATTATGTTGCAAATGTGGTTCAACGTGCATCTAGAATTACCAAATTTGTCTACAATCATATTTTTGTACTCTCAATGCTAAGGAAGTGACCTGGTTGGACTAAGATAATATGTCATGGAACCACTCATTTTGCAACTAATTTCATTGCATTGGATAGCATTTAGAAGCACATGCATGATTTGCAAAATTTGGTGATAGATCGGAGTTTTATTGATTGTGGGTATGTAAAAGATGCAAAGGGAAAGAAAGTAATACAAATAGTTTTGGATTCTGAATTTTGGGCACAATGCAAAATGATTGTGGATTTTACATCACCTCTTGTTAGTGCATTGAAACTTGCAAATTCTGAGTTTAGGCCTGCAATGGGGTATATGTATCATGCAATGATGAAGGCAAAAGAATCACTGAAAAAGTTTTTTAATTATAAGAAAGTTGAATATGGCTCAATCATGGACATTATTGATAGAAGATGGAATGGACAAATGGGTCAGAGGCTTCATCTTATAGGGTATTATTTTAACCCAGCATTCCAATATGATCCAAAATCAAAAGTTAAATCCCCGACCATTATGTCTGCAGTTTTTTATGTCATTGAAAAGCTTGCAATCAAATCAGATGATGTGGAGATAAAGTTGAACAAAGAGCTTACTCATTTTGAGAATTGTCGTGATAATTTTGGAAGATCTTTTTCAGTGAAGACATTTAAGTCAACACCTCCAGATAATAAATATTTTTTTTCTTATAACATGTTTATTATTTCAATTTTCAATTTTATTTTATAAATTAAATTAACTCTATTTCATTGTATATAGGTCAATGGTGGTTGAGATTTGGTTGTGACACTCCAAATTTGAAAAGGATTGTTGTACGGATCCTTAGTCAGACGTGTAGCTCATCTATATGTGAACGCAATTGGAGTGTTTTTGAATGCATACACATGAAGATAAGGAATAGGTTGGAGCACCAAAAGCTTAATGACCTAGTATATGTTCATTGTAATCTGCATGTGATGGATGGGTAAGTGTTTTAACTTTTATGTTTCATGATTGCTTTTTTTAATGCTTGCATTGCATCTAATGTACCATTTATTGATTTGTAGGAGAAAAACTGAAAGTCTTGACCCAATTGAGCATGAACATGTTGATGTTGTGGAAGATTGGATAGTACACGATGATGAGGATCCTCCGTTACTTGATGGTAACGAGAATGATGATATGTTTAAAGTTGATGAGACAACATTTCCAATAATGGAATCACCATCAAGAAAAATAGCTAGGACTGATGGTAACTATCATTGATATTATCTCAAATGACATTCTCATACTTGATTATTTTAGCTATTTTTTGAGTTCTAATTTTCTATTTCCGTTCTTTAGATGATGATGAATTTTTCGTTGAGCAATGGGGAATCATTGAAGAAAATGCAACCAACACCCAAGTTGGAGATGCAGATGAAACACAACCTCCCAAAGATAAATATGAAGATGATGGTGAAATACCACCTGGCTTTGGTTGGCAGTTGGTACCATTGAGAAGTGGGGCCAACATATCTAGAGAATTTGGATGATTAGATTAGTGAACCAAACTCTATCTTGAACTTAAAGTTTTGATTTGTGTTTAATACTTGGTGAATTTGGTTTTTGATCTTGTTGTTACTTGTGTTTATGATCTTTTTATTTTTGAGTATCTAAGTATTATGTTTGATGAATTAAGAATGCACGATGTTATAGTAATATGAATAGAATCTTTTGCATAATTTCTTTTCTTGTCTTCTTAGTGTTTTTGAACAGGAAGTCCAAAAGAAACTCTGAAAGACTTGACCATCTAAAGGGGTCCCTTTCCATAATGTGAAAGAAAGTACTCCTTTTATATTTTACATTGCTTATGTCCTGGTAGATGTTTTTCTTATCTTTATCTTTGTATATTTGGAATACAAGTTAAAAGGGCTTGTCAGAAAATAAAAAAAGTAGAAGCTGAAAGCCTGAAATAGATAATGGTAAGGTGCATTGAGCTGTTATAATGGGTATTTCTCAAAAAATGATTTTGTTTCTCAATTATAAGTTATAATTTTTTTCTGTTAATTAAAAATTTTATTTATCTAACTAGTGGTAAAGTGCATTGAGCTATTATAATGGGTATTTTCTAATAAGTAGGGGGAAGAGGACTTGATGGAAGAAGAAGAAGAACCTGTGTTTGTAATGACTAATGAATTGATGGAATTTTTTGCAAAATCTGAAGCAAAAAGGAGATAAGGTGGTTGTTCAACCCTCTTAAACATACAAAATCTATTGAATGAGTTCTTGACAATTAGTTAGTAGCAATTATGTCCTTAAAGACCTTCATATATGTGTAGGTTGTGGTGTTTGGTTGCAGCTATAAGTATATTACTAATATTTATTAGACTACCCCTTTATTGAAGAATGCACAAAACTGCAAATCTTTTGGAAATACAGATCTGTATAGAACTACAGATTATTAGACTACCCCAAGGCAAGATGGATCCAAGCTGCCTTGCGTTAGGGCCTTGGGTTTTTGGTTATTAGACTACATATCTTTTGGCATGGATGCTTCAGGTAGGCCAAAGGGTCTAAGTACTACAGTTGGAATTTTTTGGAAAATTTTCTATATTTTTTGGAAAATTTTTCTGTATTTTTGGAATTTTTTCTATATTTTTCTGTATTTTATTATTTTTATATTTAGATATTTTTATTTTTCACATATTGTTCTTTTTCCTGTATTTTTGTCTTTTTTGTATTTTATTTAAATTTCTATGGTATTTTTAATATATATAAGTATTTTTATTTATTTATGACATCATGGGTTGAACCATTCGACCCAGACGGTTGAGCCGTCGAATTGGAAAACGGTGCCCTAACCGGTTCGGTTCTAAAAACCATGCCTAAATGGCTAATAATTCTAGGTGGTCTTGCCTATATAACCAGACTGGGTTAGCTGGTCCAGCCAATTGAATTATGACTCGGGATCTTGGCCAATTCGGTCTTACTCCAATAATTGTTTTTTCTAAAAAACCAGTGAAAATGGTTGATTAGTCAGTTTAACCCATGGTTTTCAAAATCATACTGGATTGAATGGTTGGACCAGAAAAACCGAGAATTGGTCAAGTGATTGGTTCCATTTTTCTCCAAAACAGGAATTTTGTCAAAAAAAAAAAATGTTGATTTGGTCAGAGATTATGAGAGTATAAGATGTTTGTTGCAAGCCATCCCTCTACTTCTAGCCAACACATGCGTTGGAACCTCATTTGGAAGAATAGAGGGTCTGTTTGGTTTGTAGGAATTAGGGATTTGGAATCGGAATTGGAATGGGCTATTTTGATTCCAACTAATTGGTTGGGCAGAATTAGAATCCCATTCCCATTCTTATTGGCAATTTGAGGGAATGACCATTCCCTGCCCCTCCCTTGGGAATGAAATATCATTCCTGCTGATTTTAATTCCCATTTTTGTCTAAACCAAACAAACTATGAGAATAGATCATTCTGATTCCAATTTCGGAGGATTTTGATTCCGATTTCAACTACGATCCAAACGGACCCAGAATTCCTATAAGATTTCAAATTTTGATGTGAAAGGCCCGGTAAAACGGAATTAAAACAAAAGACAAATTGCCTTTTCTAAACGGAATTAAAACATGGCAACATATCTTTTTCTCTTGCCCTTATGCAAGAGTTGTTTGGCTCACACCAAACATGGGAATAAACCTAGAACAGGTACAAAATAAATCTCTCTATGATTTCATGATCGAATGGATTGCAGTAAAATTAAAGAATCTACACAAAGGGGACCAGATGACATATATAGTTCTTTATCCTATTTAGGCTCACTTAGGACATGAGAAATGCAGTTGTACACGGCAAGGCCCCGTTTGATTTGCAGGAATAGGGGTCCGGAATCGGAATGAGCTATTCTGATTCCAACTGTTTGATTGAGCAGAACCGGAATTCTAATCTCATTCCTATTGGAATGACAATATTTCCCCCATTTGAGAGAATAGTCATTCCCTGCCCCTCCCTTGGGAATGAAATCCCATTCCTGTTGACTCCAATTTTGATTCCCATTCTTGTATGAACCAAACAGACTATTGAAATGAATAATTCTGGTTCCGATTCTAAAAGAAGGACTTCAATTTCAACTCCAATTCTGATTCTGACTGCGAACCAAACTGACCCCTAAGCAAATCCTAAATCCTAAGCAACTTGTGGAGAGTCTACGTTTCTATACAATATGGAGCTTGGTGGAGACTGGAGGAACCTACAAGGCCTAGGACTTTCCTGCACTCACACACATAACTTTATTTGCGAAATACAAGATGTTTATTGACGGCTCATTTATATCTGCATGAAGTGGAGAGTATTTATAGGTAGCAGAAGAGTTGCAGCAATTAACTCCCTTCAAATTGAATGGTGGGCTCTCTTCCATGGCCCACCAACTTAGGACTGAAAATCTCCGTGGAGCTTTTCTGACTCAGAAAGCATGGTGAACGGCTTCTATATATACACCGATGATAGTTGGCGTATTTATTCTATCAAGGATCATGTCTTGCACCTTTTTGAAAATAGTATGTTTATGCTACATAAACAGAAAAGTGAATGAGGTTGCTCACAATTTAGCATACAAAAAAGGTCAGTCGATGATATATTGAGAAAACTTTAATATTCCTCAAATATTCAAGTTAGGCGAAAAGAAAAAACAAAAGAATTATGAATATGATTTGTTTTTCATTAAATAGCATCAATACAAAATGATGGAAGACGACGATGACAATTATGATTACTCTCTTTAAAAGTAAAGGTTTCACCAATCAGCCAGTTTTAACTTTTAAGGCAGCCCAGTACATGCAGGCCGAAGCTCCCGCCAATGTAGGGTTGGATGTTCAGAGCCTTTAACCCTAATTCCCCAAACATACAAAACATAAAACATACGACGGAGAGGCTGTTTCCAAACAAATCAGTTTTAAGGTTTATCATATTCTCCAATTATCTGGAGTACTAAAGACAAATAAATTGGAATATCTTAATCTTATTTGCTTAGCATGTTCACATTTTAATTTTTAAGACAGATCTTCAGTACTGTATTGTATTTGATCCATTGCATCAGAGTGCAAAAATGATGCAAGGCTAAAATACTGTTAACTGAATAGCCTATCTCTAACCACAGACAATCATTTCTATTCTACCCCCAAAATACAAAGTATATAATAAAACACATTTAGAGCAAAGCTCCGTTGTCGTCCAGCGGTTAGGATATCTGGCTTTCACCCAGGAGACCCGGGTTCGATTCCCGGCAACGGAAAAAGATTTTTACACGTCTTTTTTTGACTGATTTCAAATGAGAAAAAAGAAAATTAAGAACGATGATGCATCGCAGGATTGAAGAAGCGAAATACGAAGATTGAAGTTACACTAGTCTAGAATCCAGCTATATGAAAGGAAGAAAACCATATCATCATCTCCTCCGTTATCTCTTCTCTTTTTCCGGACGACGTCTCCGCTTGAACCAAAAACCGGCAAATTGGGCAAGTTTTCTGGCACAGATTCAACCACCTATCAATACACACTTTATGAAACAGATGCGAGCAAGGCAGGCTGCTTATTATGGCGTCTCCTTCCGCTAGCTCCGACAGACACACACAACACCGTTCTCCTCTGTCTGCACTACTACCCCGTTCATTTCCTGCCGGGGAAGAAGCGGGTAGACCCCCCTCCTCGATTCGTCCTGGAATATGGGATTCAATCACCAGACGTGAGACTTCCTTGGGGACTCGCCTCCTTGGACTGACCAGACGAAGCAGGAAGGCAGTCAGGTTCTTCATAGTCATTTGCTCTAATGTTAGAATTTACAAGATTAGATTTGTTTTAATTTATTCTTCTCGAGTCTCCACACACACACACACACAGCGGACACAGCGGACTCACCAAACCTAATAGATCATATTAAGAATGTGAAAGTGGGATTTTGCGTAGTTCCAAAGGGTGGTTGGATAATAGGGCCAGAGAATCGATTTGAGTGTCCAACAATATTGGTTGCACCTGCATTTATGTATGACTTCAACTTGTGACCTTTCGATCATTGCTTCATTTTGTCGTTCAAAAGTTGATTTCAGGCTCCAATACCCAATGACAAAATATTGAAAATTGACAATCCATTGTCCATGCCAAAGCCAAACCTGTACCTGTATATATATCTTCTTTTCTGTAACTGTTTGATATCGCTACACAGCCAGCAAAAAGACCATGGAAGAGAAAATGTCTTGTTCTTGAATCTTGATTACCTCATTAAGCAATTTATGGCCGCTTTCGATTCCCTATCAATAATGTGCAGTTGCACAACTACTCTGTGTCGAAGATCGATCTTGGCCTTGGGTAAGAAGGACGGATTTGCCTTGCTATAGACGCTTCGAGCATCGAAATTACAAAAATGCATATTGCCCTTCCAACTAATACCTTTCCTTTTTGCGTCAAAATTAAAATTGATACGTGTTTTAAGCTAGATTGGAATATGGAGTCCATCCATCCTGTCTCATTCAATTCCCGATGATCAAATATCA